AAGAAAATAATTCTTACCCTCAGTTTCCACTAAGACCTCCTTGCTCATGATCCCTAACCCAGCGTCTCCAACCCAGATAGCACTACAGGCTCCCAAAGACCCTCTGGAACACTGCACTCAGTAGCCCAGTGGCACAGCATCCATAAGGACCCTCCAAGAACTGGGCACCACAGACTGTATAGCTTCACCCCACCCGTCTTGTGTATTCTGTTGACAGGCCCTCCCCACCTGACTGCTGAGCCCTGCTTCTTTGGCCAATCTCATTTTGACCTTGGGGACCCAGAACAAGCTGCTTTTTCTCTGTAGCACTTGTCAAATAGCCAACAAGCAGCTGCTAACCAGTCCCTTCCCTTCTCCTCAACAAAGGCTCATGATGGCTAGGATGCTACAGAGAGCATCCCAGCCCTGGAGTCTGGACTCACTCAGCACCAATGCATTTGGTTCAAACAGGCTGGGATTGAGCAAGCTGACTATCTCAGTGGCTGTGGCCGGCCCTGAAGCTTCCTGGGATGGCTAGAGCGGTTTGTCATCCATATTGGCTGTGGAAGTCCATGTGTGCTCTGTTTGAAGATATGCCTGGAATGTGCCCACCTCTATAACGAGCACATAGAATCCCATGCCGGTGTCTCCTTTCTTGACCTGGACATGTTGAGCAAATGTCGTGAACATTCCAATTGCTCATTGATACCGATCCATCCTTATCCCCCATGCTGAGGGTGCATGTGGTTAACTCCAAGCACCCTGGGTAATTAATTCCTTTGTTAGCTGGTATTGTGTTGAAATACCGCATGTCACCCTGTCTCCTATGATTGAAACTATCTGGAAATATGTGTCCTCCTTTTAGTCATCTAAGACTGTATATTCACCATGCCCATGCTTGCATTTTACATGAGTGGGGATCAAAGAAGTCTTCAAGCTTGTGTGGTAAGGGCCTTACCAACTGAGCTATGTTTTCCAGGGGTGTGTGTGTGTGTATGTGTGTATATTTTATAGTCACTGATCTACCCAGAATATCAAATTAGAATAGTATACCTTTCAAGTACAGGCTAAAGTTGGCTACTCCAAAATCCAAAATGCCACAAATTTTCAAATGTTTTCAGTATCCACATGGTACCCTAAGTGGAAAATTCCATACCTGACCACACAACAAGTAACAGGTTGTGGTCAAAATGGATACACCAGAAATACTACGTACAATTACCTTCAGGCTGCATGTGTGAATTTTGTGTTTGGACTGAGATTTTTAATGCCTGGGAAATCTCCTGATATATATGCAAATTTCCCAAAATCCAAAGCAAACCAGGAATCTAAAACACTTCTTACCCCAGCATTTTGGAAAAAGGATGCTCAGTTTGTCCATGTACAGGAAATAAGTCTATTGTGAACCAAAAGAGATTCTATTCTGAATCCCAGAGGAATGAGGAGAGGGCAGCCTTGAAAGCGAGACATGTTCACCATGCCTTCCTAAAGGACTCCAGCTTTATGGCTTGGAAGAACTCTCAACTCACTTGGTTAATAAATTCTATGTGCCCTTAAAGTGTGTAGGGGTCACAAGTGAAAAAAAAAAACATGGCCTAAGTTAAAATTGTGGCAGAAAATACAGAGCACTTTTCCCAGATCTGCGGACGTGGAACTTTAGTACACAGTAGTGTTGAGTGGGATGGAAGTATCCAAATGCTTAAGGAAGAGGAGGGAGGCCTCCTACAGCTGTAGTTCAGTGAAATGGTTGCTTCCTGCTGCCAAAAGAGGCAGTAGCAAGATTGGTCAAGAAACTAATTTTCTTTTCATGCCTCACTGGGGTATTTTCTCCGAGAAGCAGAAATATGTCTGCCTAAAAAGCAGCCAAATAAGCTTTGAAAGGTCTACACATGTGATACAGTGAACCCTGCAGACTGCTCAGCATGTATCTCAGGTGGGAAGGTGTGCCACCATCTGGAGAGCTCTGCAGGTACCTAGTGTCCCATCCAATAGACACTCACCATCCCCTTAGCCTCTCCAGACCCCATTCTGTTCTTCTCTGTGAGTCTGACTGCTGTGTTAGTTACTTTTCTTGTAGCTACAACAAAATACCTGACAAAAGCCACTTGAGATGGTTTATTTTCATCCCAAGCATGAGGACACAGTCAGTCCATCATGGCGGGGAAAACATGGCAGTGGGGGGAACAGGTGGCAACCGGTCCTGTGATTTCTGTAGCCAGGAAGCAAAGAGATGAATGCTGATGCTCCCCTGGCTGTCTCCATTTATTCAGTCTGGACTCAAGCTTAAATGATCCTGCTCCCATTTAGGGTAGATTACCTCACCTCAACCAAATCTAAATGATCCTTCACAGTCACGCACAAAGGTTTGTCTCCTCAATGATCCCATCAAGTTGACAGTATTAACCATCACAACTACTCCAGTACCTCATGTAAGTGTAGTCATTGGGATGCACTTATTTCACTCAGCGTGTCTTCAAAATCCACCCATGTTGTAACCCAGGTCAACATTTCCCTCCTCTGTTTTCCTCTTGGACTCTGTTGAAAAGTGAGCCCCTGGTGTGATCCTTATGGACCGGAGCAGCTTACCACATTCACTTGAGCACATGACTGTGGACCCTCAGAATATAGGCAGTAACTGGAGGGTGGCATCTTGTGGGATACCAGGACTGGAGGTTTATCTGTAGACCCTAGAGAGGGCCATAGTCTCATGAGTGGGGCACAGAGGTTCTTTTCAAACTTGGGAAATACAAAAGACTGAACAGATTCAGAGAGACTTTTGCAGTTGGGGTCAGCTCGGCTGCACCAGCACCAAGCCAGGCTCACCCTCACACCTGACATTTATAAGCCCAATGTCAATTGCACCAGTCAGGATGATCTGACCAAGAGTCAGCTTGTGAGAGAGAAAGTAGGTAGAAGAGGGAATAGAGCTGACAGAGGCAGGATCTGGCTGTTAAAAATACAGAAAGAAGAAACTGGAGAACCGACTCAGTAGTTAAGAGTGCTCACTGCTCTTGTAGAAGACTTGGGTTAGGTTTACCCACATGGCAGCCTACAAGTGCCTGGAACTCCAGTTTCAAGGGTTATGACACCTCCTTCCTAGCGGCAAGGGATCCTGCACATAGGGTGCACATACATATCCTGAGGCACACATACATACACATTAAGATAACTAATCTTTAAAAAAATGTTTAAATACAGAAATAACACAAAGTTAGAAATCATTTATGAAGACAGTGTCTCTATTTCAAAACAAATGCCTGCCTTCTCTCCTGCTGCTTGGTCCATACATCCTATGTATCCACTTGAAGAGGATTTGTGACTGAGCAGAACATGACCATTAGGAGGGCTTCAGAATCCATGACCTCGAAGCCTAGACCAGGAAGAAATGTATAAGATGTTATTTTAGTGCTATGGGAGCAATCAGTAGAAATTGAATGCTTACTCATTGCCCTGTTTCCCATCACCTACCAAAGAGACCACAGCACAACTGTGTCTTAGTGCACACAGGGCTGAGTGCACACAGAGCTGAGTGCACAACAGACTAGTATGGGTTGGATGCTGTGGTCATAGTTTGTAAACAGTATATTTCTCTATTTGCTATCACACCACATAGTAGGTACTGTCATCTCTATCCCTCTTGCATCAGTGGTAGGTCAACAGGAAGAGCTTTTCTAGTTGGAACTGGAGAGGGAGAAATGGGTGATACCACCCAGTGCCCACTCAAAAGATTCTAGAAATTCTATGAGTGTTTCTAAAGAGTGGGGTGGCCTGGTAAGATTTCATTAAATGGTGTTCAAAGCTATCTATCTTAATGAAGAATGGAATGGCTATCCATGCTCACCCTCTAGAGTTGGTGGTGCTTCTACAAATATTAAGCTCCTAGGCACTAGGAATATATAAGGAAGGATGAAAGAGAGGCTTAAGCTCATCACCCAAGGTCCAAGCAAGGACAGTTCACTGGTATCCCCAAAAGAGCATTCTCCTCATTTGTGTCCTAGTGAATTGTGATTTCCAAACTGCTCAGTTGTTTCCCAGTACCCTGAAGCCAATTGAGATACGCACATTTATAGATGACTGAAACAGTGAGTGAGTAGACAGTTTGAGAAAAGCATTTTCAAGGGCCATCGTCAGCACCATTTTCTAGTGGCCTACGAGATGCCATCATCACGAGTTACTGTCTCTAGTCTGGAGGCTTCTCGGGCCGTGGAGGGCAGGGAGGACCTGGTCTTGGTGTACTCGTTCAGGCACTAGAGAGAGGCCTCTGTGCAGACTGTATCAGTCAGCTAATGCTGTAGTAACCAATATCACATTGCCTTAAAACAGTGCTAGAGTCTCATGGTAGAGGGTGGGAAACAGAATCAGCCAACTTCATAACCACATGGAAAGCTTCTGTTGAATGGGGGTGTGGAAAGATGACTTAGTGGTTCAGAATGCTTGTTCTACAATTGCAAAGATAAGAATTTGCATCCTAGCACCCACATAATAAGCTGATTGTCTCTGCAAACACCTGTAACCCTAGCTCCAGGGAGAGATGCAGACAGGAGGATTGCTGGGACTTCCTGGCTTCCAACCTAGCCAAAACATTAGCCCCCAGTTCAGGATGAGACTCTGCCCCTAAGCGTAGGTGAAACAAGATGGAATCAATAATACCTTCTTGTGGCCTCCAAACACACATTATACACTTGTGCACACACATAAATATCTTTTTTAAGCTGCTGTTGGGACATGACCAGTTTCATGGCCGCTCACACTCCATTGAGCTAAGCATGTGTTATGACAACAGACAGGGTATATGATCCCACTACAGGGAGGGAGTGACCAGCTGGAATATTACTTAACCTAACCTGGGAGTGTTGTAGCAGAAAGCTCCCTATACGAAAGAGGCCACTGAACTAGATAACCTCTGTTCTGAAGGTCTGGAATTATTTCCAGAATTGATGACAAAGCTTTCTAGATCTGTCTTGTTCCCCACTCGCCCACCACCAGATTATTTTCTTAATGTCCTTTCTCCCTCTGGGCAGGTGGGTGGCCGGTCAGTGGAGCCCCTGCTCAGCGACCTGTGAGAAGGGTCTCCAACATCGGGAGGTGACTTGCATGTACCAGCTACAGAACGGCACACATGTCACTACTCGGCCCCTCTACTGCTCAGAACCCCGGCCGACACCAGTACAGAGCTGTGAAGGCCAGGACTGCCTGTCTATCTGGGAGGCATCAGAGTGGTCAGAGGTGAGTGCCTGGGCTTGCCACTGAGGCTGAAGCCATGCGCAAGGGCCTTAGGCCTTAACCACAGGGCCCACTGTGTGCTATCTGCTCCAGGGTATTTGTAACTCATCCCCATATAAGAAGTCCTCTCCTGCCCCATGATCAGCTCACAAGTGCACTCCTTAAGCCCCATCTAAAATGACAAAATGGCTAAAAACAGACAAACAAACATACATAATGTAGTTTTGAGAATGTGTACACCATTGGGAAAGTACTATTTGATTTCCATTCCTTGTGCAAATCCTACCCAGAGATGATAGATGGACAGGTGACAGATGATGATGATGATGATGATGATAGATAGATAGATAGATAGATAGATAGATAGATAGATAGATAGATAGATAGACAGCTACCCGTTGACCTTTTCCTTCCCTTTGGACATGGTTGAGTTGTAGTATGGTCAAGCTAAGCAGCTGGTTTCAAAGACTTCTCTGCAATGCCAGGCCGTGCTTACAGGCTGCAGGAGTCCGATGCTGGGAGGGACAGCCTTTGGTATGCAAGTCAAGAGTTACGAATCTCACACCAAAAAATCTGCTGGAAAGAGTTCAAAGTCAAGGCCTAAGTTTTAAGTAGGAATGCCGGTCCTGGAAATACCATTTTATCTTTGGTGAAGTCATCTTTAGGGCTTTGCCTTGACATTACAATTATGTTGATTGTTTGGATATAAAACAAACAAAAAATAGCTAAATAAAGGGATGGACTTCTCCTGGTCCCACCAGACATAGAGTAGTCTAGAGAACTTAAGGAGGCTAAGATCCAAGACACGCTGCAGTATGGAAAATATTTTTAAAGTTCTCTTTGATTGCCAAACATAATTATTTTGAATAAAAAAGTATTTGGCCCATTTTTAATGAACAGAAACCCTGCCATTGGCTGCTCTAAACTGAAGTTTAATTTCAGACAAATCTTGAAATATACCTATTTAAGGACAGAGGTCCTCATCCTGCCTTTTATGATATTTGAAGAAAAGTGGAGAGTTTAAAATTCATTGGTTTTCTTTCTTTCTTTACACTTAGGTTCCTAGTTTGTTATTCATGGGGATTCTTCCTCTGTACCTGAGATAGAGGCATATGAACACCCCCTGACCCCTCCCCCTCCCCCAGGCCATGTAATCCCCAGCGCTTTGACTACCTTGATCTCAATCAAACAAGATTTGTACTTTAATCAGATCAAGTCCCCAAATTTTCCACTCAGACTCTTCCCTATGGGAAAAATAGAATCCATTCTTACCTAAAGAGCCAAGTCATATTACAGCATGGAAGACCACCACATGGGAAGCATGACCCACCAAAACAGGAGTTAAAGACATTCCTCTATGCCTGTCTCTCTGGACATCCCTAACCCTAATCCTGAGCCATTGTCTACATGGATCCATCTGATGCTGCCTGCCTAGAACATGGAATCTAATTGTCCTCTTTGAATTGTCCACAAAGCTGGGATTCTGTCCTTCTGCTGTGAGCCAACGTACCTACGGCCCTTCTGCTAGAAACTGGCTTTCATTTTCTTATGGGATAAGAGACTTAGAAACTTATTCACCCAACAGTATTGATCACCCCTGCCACCCATCACCTCCCCAGCTTCCTTATGACTTGATTGCAAGGAGGACCACATATCAGAAGGAAATCAAACTTGTTAGGAGCCCTCTTCTCCTCAGCTTCTTGGCCCCATCCTGCAGGGAAGTAAAGAGAGACTGAGTATCACCCTCCTGAGTCCTTTGCAACATCCACCTGCACCTGCCTTTCCTCATGGCTGAGAGCCTCAAGGGAAAGGGCTACTGATCAAAGAGGTCAGAGCCAGCCCTTGGCCAAGAAAACAGATGGACAGCAGTGATTGAAATGCCAGAGGGTAGGCAGAGTTTTTCTGTATCCTGCTAGCTGGCTCTCAAATAACCACACAGAGGTTTATTATTAATTATAAATGCTCAGCTGATAGCTCAGGCTTGTACTAACTCTTACAACTTAAATTAACCCACTTCTATTAAGCTACATTCTGCCACATGGTGTTACCTCTCTTTCATCTTGCACCTCCTGTTTCTTCTCCCTGGCTGGCTGGTGAATCCTCTGACTCTGCCCTTCTTCTTCCAAATGTCCTTAGTCTGATTCTCCTGACTAACCTCCTGTCCAGCTATTGGCCAGTCGGCTTCTTTATTAAACTAATCACAGCAACATGCATTTACACAGTGTAAAAGAATATTCCATATTTCCCCCTTTTTGTCTAAATAAAAAAGGAAGGTTTTACTTTAACATAGTAAATTTATATACAGCAAAAAAACAGTTATCAAGTAAGAATTACAGGTATGGCCAAGCAGTGGTGATGCACACCTTTAATCCCAGCACTTGGTGAGGAGGCAGGCAGATCTCTGTGCATTCAAGGCCAGCCTGGTCTACAGAGCAAGTTCCAGGACAGGCTCTAAAGCTACACAGAGAAACCTTGTCTCGGAAAAAATAAAAAAAGAACAAAAAAAAAAAAAAACAGAACAAAAAAAGAATTACAGGTATGATATCCAGTCCATTTGTGTTTGGTAAATTTAGAGAAAATATTATCTATCTTATCTTTGTGAATCTAGAGTTTTATACTTAATTTACCTTTTTTATCCTTACTTGTATTACCAACTGAAAACTATTATTTGATGTCTTTCAAACGTATACATTTTACACCTCTTTAGTGAGTTCTTTTCTGAATCTGTTAACAAGGAAGACTATAACTATAACTATCTAATCTTCAACACCCTCAGATATCAGAGAAGGAAATAATACTACCTAAGTAAGCAGAAAGTGCAAACAAGTGACTTCTAAAAAATGTGAGAAATGATAGTAACAGCTGGCTGCCTAGACAGTCACTCAAGATTTCTCTGTAACATTGGGGCATGCATCTTCGGCCTACAAGGCACAGAATATCTGACAGACTTATCTATGAAGCAGGATTTTCTGAGGGGCTGTCCTACCTTATCTTGGCAAAGTTCAGCAGTCACTTTCTTTCATGTCCTGCTTGTCTAATTTGGACAGCATACTGTCAGCAGTCAAGGCAAGGGCAGTTTCTTGCTCCATGGCTAACTTTTGCCACAAAAAAGCAAACTCCACATGGAGTTTCTTTGTTGCCTATCATCTTCTCTGAAGTAGATTGTTGCTGCCAGGAGCAGACATCTCATTGTCATTAAAAACCTTGTATTATTAAAACATCATAAATGTCATATTCTGTAGATCTATGAAGTGTTTGAAGATCAGCTGTCTATCTAAAATTATTTCTGTTTGACCTTGAAAACATACCTAAAATGACTATATGTTTGACTATTATAGATGACTATTAATCTGTATTTTTAATTATGCATTACATTTTTAAATGAGTTGCATAAACATAATACCCTAAATAAGAATAGAAATATACATACAGTATAACAAAATTAACTTTAAATTTATATCAATATACGAAAATCCATACCAATGTAAAATATGTAAGACTAGTAGTTGTTTTTTTAGTTTAAAAGTAAATTCAATAATCTACCTACTTACCTACTTATTTCTATATCCCCTTTTTTCATTTCAGAATGAAATCCCTGAATCTAATCTTCTTTGTTCAGCTTTTTTTCTGATCATTACCAATAACAACTTGTAACCAACCCCTCTCAAATGATAACAAACATCCATAATCCTTCTTTTGGGATGTTGTTGCTTTCTTTTGTCTTGGGGCACTGGCATCTTTGGGAGAACCTTGAGAAAATCAGAATAATTATTAAGTCTTAGTTGGAGCGTTCTGTAATACTGGATCATCTCAGTCAGCAGCCTTGAAGCTGTTCTGGATACTGGATCACCTAGGCCATCATTTTTGTTGGTGTCTGTCCCTTGCTCTGAAAATACATAAACTTTTAAAGGTAACATACATATCTGCATTAATACAAGTGTAGACTGTATTATACACAGGTCAGCCAAAGATGATTTTTTGTTTTATGTTTGAGGAGGTAAATATATATCACATGTGTTGTAGTTCTTCTAGGTTTATTTCTTTATGAATGTAGTCAAGATTTTCAAGGGGTCTTCCCTGATCAAACCTGACCATATTAACCTGGAATGAATCCAATACAGCCTCTCAACTCCTGTGGAAATAAAAGCATAACCTCTTCCCCAAAATAACATATCTTTTGACTTCCATTTTGATGTCAAGACATTTTAAAAATATATAGGTTGGTTTAATCTAGCAGCTTTCATAATCTAGTGTCTCTTAGCAGCCAAAAAATTTAAAGATAAAACAATAACATATAGGATCCAGACTCTCTGTGTATTTTCCATCTTTACGTGGCTTTTTTCTTTTATATTTCTTTACTCTCTTTTAAAGGACTTTATTATTTTAAAACCAGCCAATATAGCATGCCTTCCCACAGTGGAGTGGGCTGGGGCGGGATCCGGACGTATCCCAGAGCACCTAGTGTCCCTGTGTCCTGTCAACTCCTTGAACTCTTGCCTTTGTGTGTGTGTGTGTGTGTGTGTGTGTGTGTGTGTGTGTGTGTTGCCTTTGTGTTTTTCAAGACAGGGTTTCTCTGTATAGCCCTGGCTGTCCTGGAACTCACTCTGTAGACCAGGCTGGCCTCAAACTCAGAGATCTACCTGTCTCTGCCTCCCAAGTGCTGGGATTAAAGGCAAGCACCACCACTGCCTGGCTTTTGTCATTCTTTATTGCATGAGGACACTGCAGTCTTGAGCTCTTGAGGGCTTGATCATCATTAGTAATCACTCTGGCTCTGCCCAGATCCCATCTCCAAGTTGTTTCTTGCCATGTCTCCTAATAAGTCGGCTATGCTACTGTGTAGAGTGTTGATCTCTCCATTCTTGGTATCCACACTTAAATTCCAAGCTTGCCTTACGAGAAACACCCATGGCTTCTAGCTGTTGCCTCCTTTTTGACATCTTTGCCCTGTGTATCTAGAGGCCAGCTGGCCCAGACTCCTTTTCGGTCAGAACCCCACTTGGCTCCAGCTGGCCCCTGCTTCTCCTGCCAGCTCATGTTCTGTTTGCCCTTTGAACTCATGCCCTGAATTGATCTTTTAGAACTGCCCATTAAATTTTTTAGCTGTCCATTAAATTCCACTTCCCTCATTTGACCTTCTTCCATGAGTTCTTTGGAGTCGGGACTCCAAAGTCCCAACTGAAGTCCCAGTCTAATGGGACTGAAGAGCCATGAGCATTTGAGGACGGAATATGAGGCACCATCATGTCTGCTTCCCCACTTGGGCTGGGTACACGGTGGGGGTTTCCGTGATGTGAATGGACTTGAACCAAATGGGAATGTACTAAACGCCTTGCTATGTCTTGCAGTGCTCCGCCAACTGTGGCAAGGGGACCCAGAAACGAACTGTGACATGCACCAACTCTCAAGGGAAATGTGATGCGTCCACAAGGCCAAAAGCTGAGGAGGCGTGTGAGGACTACTCCGGCTGCTATGAGTGGAAAACTGGAGACTGGTCTAAGGTGAGAACAGCCGTGCTGGGTTTCCAGCCTGCCATGGCAGCGTGAGCTAGCGTGAGCCCCCGTTCTGCTGGAGATCATGAGGCAAGTTCACTCTTTCCCCACTCCTCAGAACTGGACTCACTGCTGACCCTGCGTACATCTTCCCTGATCTTTTCAACCAGCCAGCACTGTTTCAGCTGGCTGGGAGCATCCCACTGCAGTTTGTGCATTTGGAAGCAAATCAAATGCAGCCTAAAGTGCACAGTGGGCATTCCTTACCAGCCCAGCTGCCCCTTGCAACATGCTGGTGGTACCCCAGCAAACCACCATGAGCCTAACCACATAGCTACCCATCATGAAAGCCTCACAAATGCAGGAGCTAGGTTGGGCAGACCCATTTCAAAGCCTGTGAAGTACCATTTATTTTGTAAGCAAGAGTCTGGAAGATGCAGGGTAGAGAAGGCAAGACTCCTTGGAGATGCCCAAGAGCTGTGAAAGGTTCAAATGGCAATTGAATGTTTCTCAATATGATGTTTCTTTGTCAAAACTGGCGTGTACAGCTTCTCTTGTAACCCCAATGCTAGGGAAGTGGAGATGAAAGGGTCCTTGGGGCTTCCTGCCAATCAGCCTGCCTTCCCAAATCAGTGCATTCCATGCCAGTGAGAAACCTGACCAATGAAAAATGTTGATGGCAGGTGAAGAACCATACCTGAGGTTGTCCTCTGGCATCTACATCCATGTGCACCTGCATACACACCTGTATACTGTACCAAGGCTTTGCTGTTTGACCCATGGTACCTTTTTTTTTTTTTTTTTTTTTTTTTTGGTTTTTTGAGACAGGGTTTCTCTGTGTAGCTTTGGTACCTGTCCTGGAACTTGCTCTGTAGACCAGGCTGGCCTGGAACTCACAGAGATCTTCCCGCCTCTGCCTCCCGAATGTTGGGATTAAAGGCATACACCACCGCCACCCAGTAGCCATGGTAGCTTTGAATGACTCATATTTACTGAGGACTGAGGCCTGTGTAAGAACTAGCTTATATATTGTCCCAAGAGCCTTGTTGCAGAGACACTCGGTATCTCATGAATGCAGGGAGTATATTATGGTTTCAGCAGCTGAAAACCTCCCCACACTTCTGGTGTCTCCATCCAAGGGTCCCAGAAGCATCTGCGATCACTTGGCCTGCACAGTCAGTACTGTAAACATTTCAGAATCAGTTGCCAATATCTAAAATGTTTTAAAATGGTTCCTGAAAATTTGGATTTGGGTTTCACTATAAAACCTGGCAGTATGTCCCAGGCAGGCAGTTTGGTTCTATCTCTGGCTTCTGGGAGGAGGAATGGCCTGTCCTCTGGAAAGCTGTACCTTCAGATTCTGGCACCTGTGGAAATGTCCATGCTGTCCCCAGCCTATATCAGAGCACAAACCCTCCAAGGCTTCCAGTGCTAAACAATCCAGTGTCTCCTGTTGTGTCAAAATGCAGCCTGTGGATAACTGAATTTAAAGAAGACCAAAGGACCTTTCTATTCCTTGACAATGTCTGACCAAAGAAACGGAATGAAGGTCATCAGTCCATTCCCCACCCCCAAACACAATCGATGTACCCCAGAAGCATGACTGTTAGTGAAGTCCAGCATGGAGCCGCCAGGATGAATCTCAAGTAGAAGAAATCTAACTTCAAAGCCATTGCGAAAGAACTCTGCAACCCTGAGGAGTTATACTCACTGAGTGGAGACAGCAAGTGGTAGATTCAGTGCTCTGATTCCATGTATGTGTCTCGCTCTCTCTCATCCTTGTCTGTATCTCCAAGATGGGAAGCCCAAAAGCTGTCCCTGCCTGTTCCTCAAAGATGCTCATGCATTCCAAGGTATAGATGAGGACACTCTAAGACAACTAAGCTCAACTGCCTAAAACACACCACTCAGGTCACATTGTTATAGCCTCAGGCCCCAAGACAGTTCTCATCAACTTGACCTGGCCTCATTAGTCAAGCTTCCCTGACCAAGGCTATCCAGAGCCAGCCTGGGAGGGATTGGTGTCTCTATGGCCCCCAGATAGTCTTGGGCAGGAGGCAGAGGTGAGTCCTGGGGCCACACATGCCCATCTACTGTTGGGGGGATACAGAGCAATTGTTTCTCCTTTGCTTTGTACCCTGTGTCTCACATCCCCATTCTTCTCCAGCCAGCCCATCACTCCTGTCACTCAGAAAAGGAGATTGAGGCAATTAAAACCCTCAACAACAGTCCAAGCTCTTAGATCTCAATTTAGTGCTCAGGGCTTATGGTGGCTTTGGGAGTCCAAGGGCTGGTGCCTGTAAGCCTTTGGATACAGTAGTCTGTCACCAGCCACCCAAGGCTTGAATTTCTCAGCCCAGCCCTTCTGGTTTTAAGGACAGAGTAGGCACTTTTGTTTTCTTAAAGACTTTGAATTTCTGGTCAAACAGTAGCAAAGTACCAAAGATAATTAGAAATAAGAGAAGATCCTGGGTTGCTGTACAGCTCTGCAAAATCACTGCTCATGTGGCTCCCTCTTCCCTTACTCTCAGCTCCCTCCCTGCCTGAGGATGTTAGCACAGTATCCCTCAAACTTACAGGTCCTCACCCACCCATCTCAAGAGGCAGAGCCTTGGGTCGGGCATTCCCCTTCCCAGTCGTGCCTTGGTGAATGACTGCTTCTTGCCTTTTCAGAGCAACTTGTGGCAGGACCACAGTGCTCACCTTGACATAGCCAGCTTGGTCAGTTGTCTGTGGCATTAAGAATGAGGATCCATAGAACATGAGGACCTCCCCAGATCTTGGCCACTGTACAGGCTGAGTGGCTATGTGTGTTTGTGGCAGAGTCAAGCCCCCCAACCCAGCCACAGCAGGTCCAGCCAGAGCTTTACCAGCCCACAGCCTACAGTGATTTAACTTCATGCATCAAGCCAGGTCTCACAGGTTTGCTCTGCCATGCAGATCAGAACCCAGAGATGCTAAATTGCAAGTATGCATGTGTACATAGGGAGTGCTGGGAACAGGTGGAGCTGAAGGAGCATAGACGTCATTCAAGAGCCACCCCCAAAGCTGTCTACCTCACCATCTTCTCTGATGCTGCCATCACTGGTGGTGGGGTCTGAGATCAGCCCCCATCCAGGTAGAAATGTACCCATGGTTCTCTTTCTGGCTTCTTTGGGGTGGGGAAAGGTAAATACAACTCCCCATAAAGCCCCTGACCTCACTCTCCAGGTGGCTGGAACAATGAATGTGGGTGCCATGGGATGGACCTTCCTGTGGGTTTTCTGTTGTCCACACTGGACCTGTTTTAGGACTTTGGTATCCTCTCTGCCATCCCACTTTGCAGGGTGTTGCTGTTTTGCCCGTGGAGTCTGCTGCGTTTTCAACCCAATTGCTGTGGACTATTTTCCTATGACTAGTAAGCAAGCAGCAGCCTAGATGGAAATTAGAAGACTAGCACTCTGGGCCGTCCTCTGGGCCCCTCCTGGCCTCTTCATATCAGTGGGACCCCATAATTGGTGGGAGACAATACCTGCTCAGTCAGGACTGAGAGGAGCCCGTGACTGGGGCTCTCAGAAGGTATGTCTTCCTACCTGTGCAGTCCCAGGGCACTTCCTCCCAAGTGCTATGGGAAAAGTGAGCCTTTCCCAAGGAGGTGATGGATAGGAGAAACCACATACCTGCAGACGCCGTCCTAAGGGTTAGCACCAAACTAGACAACTCTGGGGACAAAAAGAAAGGTTTATTGGGGAATCAAACTACCAGGCTGTGTAGAGGGAACAGAAGGTGGGGAAAACCTTGCCAGTCTTAAGAAGGCACGTTGTAGTGGGAGGAGGTGTGCAAGCTGGAACAGCCTGGGAACTACTCTAGTAGGTGGGGGGACCATGGGCCAGAAGAGCCTGGGAGCTACTGTGGGGGCTTTGATCTGTGGCAGGCTTGTCTGAGTTAATAGGGGACTAGACGCCTCATAGCCAGAGGTAGTTGGCTATGGGGGCTGGGAGAGGATAAGGGAAGTAATGGCTTTTTCTGACAAAGAGAAACCTGCTTCACAAGGTTTCTGAGGAATGTTGAGTTTAGGCAGTAACCCTTCTGTTTACCTAGTCAGAGTCAAGCCTGAGCTGAGCCCAGACTGTCATTTAAAACATTGTCAGCAGCACTGCCATTTCAGGGGCCCACTTTGGACCTAATGTTCCAACCCTTTCTTGATGGTAAGGGACAACTGTAATCATCCAGCTACTTCTGACTAAATGGGGACATGTGGAGGAGGAGGATCTTAAGCCTGGAACACTGGTCAAAGAGGGGGAATCAGACAGGCAAGCTATGGGGGGAGAACAGGAGAAATTGTCAGAAGCATCTGGCTTACTGACCCTTGGGTAAATTATTTTACCAATTCTCTCCTAAAAGAATGTGAAGAAACAGGTAGCAATCATTATCACAAGAAGTATGGATATCAGTGGCCAAGGAGCTGAAGGATCCAGAGGCTCCATCCAAGGCAGACCAAAAGGAGAGCCCCACACAGGAGTCGGCCCCTGGAGGCCATAGTTTGTGAGCCAGCTCCTCAAAGTCTTTAATCTACTTGTCTACTTGGCCAGGCTGGTTCACATAGTAGCAACATCTCCACTGAGGAAGAGGCAAGGACCTCCTCTTCTGGCTGGCAGTTGAGGGCCTGCCAGCTTTGTAGAGCCACCGAGGCTAATGAGATGAGCTGGTTTGGGAGCAGCCTTAGGGCCAAGGTTGACTCCGGGATGGTGCCTGTCAGCTGAGTGAACATCTAGTGTGATAGACACAAACTATTGCAGGTGGAGTTTTCCCGTCCCACAGCCACTCTCAGATAATCACTCAGAGGCTTCTTAATATTAATTATAAATGCTCGGCCAATAGCTCAGGCTTGTTACTACTAACTAGCTCTTACAACTTAACCCATTTCTATTAATCTATGTGCTGCCCCAAGGCTTGTGGCTTTTACCTCTATCCCATTTTGTGTGTCCAACTCACTTTCTATCTATCTAACAATTCCTCTTACTCCACCC